GTGGACCCCTCCTGTCTGTCTCCTCACCGTCTGTGTCTGGTTGCCAGGTGGAATACCTCTACTCGCTGGTCTACCAGGCTCTCGATTTCATCTCTGGCAAGAAGTGAGTACTGGAGGCACAACCAAGAGGTGGAGGCCTGTGTGTCTGCCCTTCATGCGGCTCGGGAGGCCCCTGCAACCTCCCGGGAGGCCCACACATCGATTCTCTCTTAGGCGGGCCAAGCAGCTCTCCTCAGTGCGGGAAGATGGGGCCAGTGGGGACGCCAGCTCCAGGGCCCCCCAGGAGGTGGAGGATGAGGTGAGGTTTCTTGGGGACGTGACTGCTACCCACTATGCACTTGCCGAGCGTCACAGCTGAGCCCTCACTGTCTTCCCACAGTTCCTGTCACTGGATGACCTCCCTGACTCCCGTGCTAATGTGGATCTGAGGAATGACCAGGCCTCCAGTGTGAGTGCCCCTCCTCCTGCAGTGGGGGCCCCATTTAGCTGATGGGGGTGTTGGAAGGTGTCATCTCATATGGGTTCCCCACCCGGAACCCAGAGGACCCATGGCTCACCCCTCTCGGCCTCTGTGCAGGAGGTCCTCATTGTCCCCCTCCTGCCCATGGCCCTGGTAGCCCCTGATGAGGTGGAGAAGAATGAGAGCCCCTTGTACAGGTACAGGTCTGAGGCTGGTGGGGGTGGGGGAGGCCTGCCTGGGAAACGTCTCTACAGAGAATGTTTTTGCCAGCACAGCTGTCATGGGGAGGTCCTGGCCAGCCGGAAGGATTTCAGGATGAATACATGCACCCCCCACCCCAGAGGAGCCTTCATGTTGGAGCCTGTGGGCATGTCCCCCATGGAGACGCTGCTGCTGAGGAACCAGAAGGGTGAGGGCTTGGAGGTGGGGGGCTTGGTGGGAAGGAAGGGTCTACCAGGCTGGGCTTCTTGTCCGGTCCCCTGTGCTGCCAGCTCTGGCCCCATGAGCTCCTCCCTCCTCAGGCACCAGCTGAGGACGGGTCTGCTGGAGTTTGTCCCCTTGCCCTGTCTATCTGCAGCTGGCTCAGTCCCAGGGTGCCCGAGTCCTGTGCCAGGGCTCTGTTCTCCCTCCCCAGCCTTGGTTCTGCTAGACCCTTGGGAGGGGCCCTCCAGGGGTGCTGGGCTGACTCTTTCCAATTCTTCATCTATCCCAGAGGCCGAGAGGGCTGAGGAGCAGCCAATGGAAGTCTCTGTGTGCAGCAGTCCCGTCCCTGCGCCCAGCATCTCCCAGGAGCCAGGTGCCTGTGTGTGTGTGGGAGGGCTCGGGGGATGACTGGGCTCTGCATGGAGCTGTGCTTGGCCACCCCAGCCTGCCTGCCCCCCTGTGGTCTGTGGTGGGGTGAAGCCTTGGAGCTGGCTCCTCTGCACCCAGGCCTTGCCCCCCAACCTCAGCCCAATGTGCTGTTGGTTCAGTGACCACCCTCTGACCATTTCCTGGCCTCTGAGGTTTGGACCTACCCTGTCTTCTATGGGCAGTGTGGTGGGGAGAGTGTAAAACACCCTGCTATGTTTTCTGGGTCTCACACATGAAGCTGGGAGAGGGAATGGCCTCTCGGGTGTTGGCCAAGGGCAGCCTGGCTCTTTGCCCTGGAGGCGCGGGCCCCCCATCTGCTGTCTTGTCTTTGGGCTCCTCTGGGCTGACCAGTCTCTTCTTCCCTGCCCAGGCACCTCTCCAGGAGGACCAATGCTCAGAGGTGGGGGTGAGGATGAGGATGCAGAGGGGGCAGCAGAACTCCCTGAGGCCATGGTCCCCGAGGTCCCTCTGGAGCCCCAGGAGCCCAGGATCCTGCAGCAGGTGGGACCTACATTGAGGCCTGCAAAGCTTGAGCTATCAGCTGGGCGAGCCCTGGCTCTGGGGCAGCCACACTTGACACAGCAAAGGCAGGCCCGCTGGTCTTAGCCCCTCCTCTCTGGTCCTTACACACCAGGGCAGTGGGCGTGTCCTCCAGCCAGCCCTGGCCCTGGCCCTGCACCAAGCCCTTTGGGCAGCATCCTCCACATCCCTTCCCTCTCCGAGCAGAGCAGCCACGCCTTCTCTGAGGGGTGGGCTGGTGTTCAAGGGTCTGAGGCTCTTGTGCTCCCGGCTGCTCCCCAGGATGGCAGCAGTGGACAAAGCCGGCTTCTGAGGTCAGGCGGTGGGGGCAGGCCTGGAGGCCTTTGCTGCCTCTGACCTGCAGATTGGCTCTGTGCTCCAGCCTAGAGCTAAGAAGTCTTGTTATCTATTTAAAAAAACCTGATGCCTACAGGAAAAAATAGCAGCATTTGTTAATTTTGGTTGGTATACACATGGATGTTTATCATATTATTGTTCTTTTTTTGTATCTTTTAAAGAAAAAAAGAGTAACCCCATGACCACTAGTTTACTAATTTGTATGTTCTCCTAAAACTTTTCCTAGAATTTTTGTTTTACTTTTTAGTCCTTGAACTATTTGAACTTCCAGTCCCCAGAGAGGGTCCCTACAGGGTTCATGGCAGTGACCCCAGAGCGGAGCTGGTGGGGTTCCCTGGGCCCTGACTGAAGGAGGAGAGGGGAATCTGGGGCCATTTCTTTGCAGAGTGCCGCCCAGCCTGGAAGGTGCCTGTTGCGGGAGCGGCGGGAGGCCCTGGAGCCTGCATCCCGGCTGAAGGTAATGCAGCCCACAACCCACCCCTTCACTCCTGCCAGCTTTCAGAGCCTCAGAGGCCCTAGGTCCTAGTGCGAGGCCCTTCGCTGGCTCTTGAGAAATCTTCCTTCCCCAGAAATTGAATCCCCTCATCCACAGCTCTGGGGTACCTCTCCCTTGTGTCATCTTCAGACCCTGGCTGGAGTGTGGCCAACCCCTCCCTGCTGTCACTGTGCTCAGCGTCTGGGCTTTGAGGGGAGGGTGCACGTCCCCCACCCTCTCTCAGGGTCTGCTTGTGCTCTGTGCTCAGGAGACCCCAGACCCCTGGCAGAGCCTGGACCCCTTTGACTCCCTGGACACAAAGCCTTTCAAGAAAGGTAATTTGGTGGAGGAGGTACAGCTACTTAGGTGTCTGGCTGGGTTCGCTGGGGCACGAGTGGTGGGTGGGGGTGGGGCTGTGCTCCCTCATACGATCGCTCCTGGGAGACATGGGCTGCACCTGTGCTCCGACAGTCCGTTTGCCCCCAGGTAGGCCCTACTCTGTGCCCCACTGTGTGGAGGAGGCTCCAGGACAGAAGCGTAAGAGGAAGGGTGCTGCCAAGCCGCAGGACTTCCACCAGTGGTACCTGGCTACTTGTGAGTGGTGGGCTGGGGCTGCGCCAAGGCTGAGGGTCCAGATGTGGCCTACAGGGACTTGGCTTGGCTCCTGCTGACCACATTCTCTTGCAGATGCTGACCACACTGACGGCAGGAGGCCCCGGCGAAAGGGCCCATCCTTTGCAGGTGAGGCCAAGGCCCTGTGTGGGCTCTGCTGAGGCGTGACAGTGCCACACTCTACTGCCCACCTCCCCTCAGCCTGGGGATGCCCCAGGCCCTCTGTGGCTTGGGATGGGCTTGGGCAGCATGTGGGGGTCCCTCTCACAAGGCCTTTTTGTGCAGATATGGAGGTCTTATACTGGCAGCATGTGAGGGAGCAATTGGAGACCCTCCGGAAGCTGCAGAGGAGGGAGGTGAGTACCAGCCATTGTCTGGACCCCACGTGGCCCCTAGCGGGAGACAGCCCTGTCCCTCACAGATTCTCTCTGCACAGATGGCTGAGCGGTGGCTGCCGAGGGCTGAGGAAGGACTGTGGCCTGAGGAGGAGGACCGCCTCGAGGATTCCCTGGAGGACCTGGAGGCAGCAGGTGGGGCCTACTGGGGCAGGCCAGGGTGAGGGCTTAGCACCTGCTGCCAGCTGACCTGCCTCCTGCTGGGGTCTCTCCATCTCCCAGTAGATGAGTTTCTAGAGCCCGAGGAGTATGCAGAGCCTGAAAGAGAAGAGCCCAGGGAAGCTGCAGACCTGGGTAGGTCTGGGATGGGCTGCTCGCCAGGGGGCCATGAGGACCCGGAGGGAGGAGAGGGTTTGGCCCACAGCCACAGCAGCTCACAGCTGCCCCCTTCCAGAAGCAGAGGCCATGCCGGCGACCCTGACCTATGAGGAGCTGGTCCGAAAGAATGTGGTAGGCCTGGGTCAGAGCGGGCGGGGAGCTGGGGTAGGGGTGGGGGGCTGGCACAGAAAGCGGTAGCCCTGGTCCTTCCCTAGGAACTCTTCATCACCACTTCTCAGAAGTTCGTCCAGGAGTCAGAGCTGACCCAGCGCATCAGGGACTGGGAGGATACCATCCAGCCCCTGCTCCAGGAACAGGTGAGGTGGGGTGGGCCGGGCTTCTGGTTGAGAATGGGAGCCTCCCCATAGGCCTGCCCCAGGACCTTGCTCCTCCTCCTCGCAGGAGCAGCATGTGCCCTTTGACATCCACACCTATGGGGACCAGGTGGTCTCAAGGTTTAGCCAGCTCAATCAGTGGTGTCCCTTTGCGGAGCTGGTGGCTGGCCAGCCTGCCTTCGAGGTGTGTCGCTCCATGCTGGCCTCCCTGCAACTGGTAAGTGGCCCAGGGAGCCTGGGAGGGAAGCAGTCCCTGGACTCTGCTGATGCCTTGTTCCTACAGGCCAATGATTACACGGTGGAAATCACCCAGCAGCCAGGGCTGGAGGAGGCCGTGGACACCATGTCCCTGAGACTACTCACACACCAGCGGGCCCACACGCGCTTCCAGACCTATGCTGCCCCCTCCATGGCCCAGCCCTGAATCGGGAGCACTGAGCCTGGGGGGTGGGCCCTGGAGCCCTGTCCCGTAGGCTTCTGGGCATGTCTGCTCACCTTTGCTTCCTGGCTGGCCCAGCCTAATAAAGTGGTGTTACCATTCCACTTGCCCCTTAAAAAACTCCTGCTCTGTGCAGAGAAATGGGCTGCCCGTCCCCTGCACCCCTGGCAAGTGACTAGGTCCTGAGCTCCTACTTGCCCTGCCTCCAGGAGCTGCTGGTACAAATCATGCACACACATCTCTGTCGCACCCCCTTTAATGATTTAGCTCAGGGCAGGACACTGCGGAAGGTAGCCATGTGGTGCCGCACGCTGTCTGCAATCTGCTCAGCTGACCTGGCCCGGCCATAGTAGTCTGTGAAGAGGCCATCAGGGTTAAGCAGGTAGATAGCAATGGAGTGATCCACAATGTAATCCTGGTCCTCGTCTTTGGGGCCAGCACTGTAGTATACACGGTAGTTGTGGCTAGCCTGAGCAATCTGCTCGGCAGAGCCAGTCAGGCCCAGCAGCCTCGGGTGGAAGTCCTGCACATAGCGGGCCATGGCCTCGACGCTGTCCCGCTCAGGGTCCACAGTAATGAAGATGGGCTGCACCAGGGGCAGGCCAGGCTCAGCTTCCAGCTGCTGTACCACCTGCACCAACTTCTCCAGCTCATCTGGGCAGATGTCAGGGCAGTGAGTAAAGCCAAAGTACATCAGTACCCACTGGCCCCGGAAGTCAGCTTTGCAGCGAGCCTGGCCCCGGTGGTCCAGCAGACTGAAGTCGCCCTGGCCCACGGCTGCCTGACGCAGGGCTTCTGTCCGCCGTTGCTGCCGCCACTGCTCCTTCTTAGCCCTTGCAGCCAGCCAGGCCCCACCCAGCCCAGCCCCAAACAAGGCTGTGATCAGCAACCTAGTTCGAAGCCCAGGGCCCTGGGGCTGGCCCTGTTTGCCTGTCTCTGCAGGACCCTGCCTTGACAAGAGCTGGCACCTCATGCGTAGGGAATCACCTCCCAGGGTCCTAGGGCAGACCAGGCGCTTCAGCTGAGGGAGCCTGAGCCAAGCCCTGGGTGCCAGGGCCAGCAGCAGCATGGATCTGATATTTCCTGGAAAAGAACAAAGGTGTCAGGAGCCAGAAGGTGTCGCAGCCTCCTGAGTCGGCCCCCTCCCTCTGGAGAGGCGTCCGTGGTGGGACCAACCCCACACTCGGCTAGCAGCCGTGCAGAACTGCTGCCTCTCTGACACCTCAACCTCCAGCTTAGGCGTCACTGAACGTCTACGCCTGTCCTTCCTGTCCTTTAGTCTGTGAGCCTCAGTTATCCCACGCTGGCCCCTGCTCTGTCCTGCACCTGCAGCTCTGTCCGGCCCGGCCACTCGCCCGGGCCTCGGCATGAGCGCTGACCGAAGCGTTCCAAGTGCACGCTTTGCCTGGTCCTGAGCACGTGTGTCTGTCTGCAATAAACCCCCAATTCTTGAAAGGAGGCGAGCAAGCCTCTCGCTTCAGCCACCGCAGCCTCTCCTCCCTGTGACGCCTCGCCGCAGCCTTCCGGCCCCTCCACCGTGCCCAGCAGGGACCCCGCGACGTCCAGGGCGCCCGTGGGCCGCGATTACCTGCCGACGCCGCTTCTCCCCGCCCCGAACCTTCTTTCCCGGGCGCTCACCAGCAGAGAAACAAGACGTCCACCTGCCACAGACCCCACCCCACTTCCGCCCACGGTTCCGTCCACCCCGCCGTTGCTCCGGTGACCTCCGTGCCCTCCTCACAGAGACCTCCGGAGGCTTGCTAGGCGGCGGTCTTAGGACCCCTCACCTGGTCAGCTGCTGCTGAGGACCCTCCCGAGGACTCCTGCGGGCCGGACGGCCCCTGGGTTCCCAGGCGCTCCGGGCTGGCTGACCGTGCGCACGGCCCTTAGCCTCTCTACCAGCCTCTCCTTTACTCAACGGGCTCCAAGCGGTGCACGAGACGTGCCCGGCAAGCAAGGCAGCCTGTGGGCGCTTCCTGGCCCCTCCTCCCGAAGCACCCCCTCCAGGGCGCCCTCCCGGAACGCGCCGCCGTCTGCCCGGCTGTAAAGTCAGAAAGCTGGACACTGGCGTGGGCCACGCGCCGAGCACAGCCCAGGCGCCCTCCGCGCCCTCCACCCGGGGTGTCCCTAGGCTCCCCGCCAGGCGCTGGCGCCGCGAGTCAGAGTACACTGCCCACTCCCCGCGCCAGGGCCCCTCCGCCGCGCGCTCCGCACCAGCGCGCATGCGTCAACGGCGCCGCGCACGCGTGGAGCTGGCGCGTGCTCAGCTGTGCGCGTGCGCAAAAGGTGAGGGACCCGCCCGCTAACACGCGGCCTGGCGGGGCGGGGCTTCCTCGCTCGGCCTCGCCCCTCCCCCGCTGGCCACACCTCCCTTGGAGCCTCCTTCGAGGGCCAGCCCTTCCTACCGCGGCTGGACCCGGCGCCAGGTGTCCAAGGTGGACCTTAGAAATAAAACAGCCAGTTATTCTACCGGTAAAATGAGTTTATTCAGAAATAGCCAAAGAATTGCAATTCCGGTTGTGCAAGCTATGGCGGACCATAGGCAAATCTAGCAAACAAGACAGGAGAATGTTATTTTGTAGAAAAGGAGGAAGTTAGGAGGGTTTTGAATCAAAGTCTCTTGGAGGAAAGGAGAGTTCAGGCTGGGGCGGTGATTTGCTTGGAATGCAGCGCACATTTCTTCCTGTACTGAGGATTCTCTTTTGGGGCCTGTCCCGGACTCTCCTCCTGTAACTGCCCGCCGGCGCTATGTGGCACTCTCCCTCCTGTCCTCTGGACCCCATTTTAAAGGTTTCCCTTTATTAATCTCCCCACAGGCATGGATAGGACTTGGCACTCTCGGCTTCATTGCTGCGTGTGGGTGGACATGGTCCTGGGCGGCGGCAGAACGAGCTCTGCGAAGGGCGAGGGGGCGGCGAAGGGCGCGCGGTCCGAGAGCACCAGCGCCTCCTGCAGAGCGCGGCGCTGCGCGGCGCTGAGCGCGGGCGCGTCCAGGTGCACGCGAAGCCATGGCATCCCTGCAGGGCGGCCCAAAGGGGTCAGAAGGCGCGGCGGCCAGCGGGCGAGGCGGCCAGCAAGCGGGGAGGCCGGACGGGCGGCCAGCGGGCGAGGCGACCAGCAAGCAGGGCGGCCAGACGGGCGGCCAACGGGCGAGGCGACCGGCGGGGGCGAGGAGGGGCCAGGATCGGCGCTCACCGCGGCGCAGTCTCTGACCCACGCTGACTAGCACCTCGGCGCCCACCCCCGGCCGGAGTGGCTCCCCGGCGCGGCTGCGCCCGGCCCCGAGTTCGTGCAGCACGCGCGCCAGCGGTAGCGCCTGGACCAGCTCCACCGTGCCTGCGGGGAGAGGGTGCTGGCGGGCGGGGGACGCCGCGGCCGGGGAGGGATGGAGGGAGGGCGCGGGGCCGAGCCTCGGGAAGGGGAGGGGCCAGGAGCTCCGGGGGAACGGGAGTGGCCAGGGCCCGGGGTTTCGGGAAGGAAAGGGAACTGGGACTCAAGAAAAGGGGCGGGGCCTGGGTTGGGGGTCAAGGAACCGGGGTCTCCGGGCGCTCACCGTCTCCGGGCGCGTGCAGCTCCTCCTGCTCCCGGGCGCGGGGCAACAGCTGCCGGCGCTGCGCGGGAGTCCCAGAGCATAGGGCTCGGGCCAGGCCCGGGTCCACGCCCTGCCCCGCGAGCATCCGCTCGAACCGGTCCCGGGCTGAGCCGTCGTCCAGGGTCTGGGCCACCCGGGCGGCGCCTTCGTCCTGGGTCTCCGCCTGTCTGCTGAGCCAGAGCAGGACCCCTCCTGCCGGCGGGGAGGGGGCTTAGGTGAAGCGGGGGCGGGGCCTCCCGGAGGGGCCGGCTCTGAAGCGTAGGCCCCCACACCTCTACCAGTCCCCTCACCGAGCCTAGTGACCAGGTCTCGCAGGTCCGGCGGCCCGGCACCATCCATGCAAAGCAGCGCCTCCTCCACCTCCAGGCTGTGGCCCACGCTGCGGCCCAGGGGGTTGTTCATGGCCGTCAGAGCCGCCGCGACCCGAAGCCCCAGGCCGGCTCCCACGCCAACCTGGGGAGACAAGGTTTCATCTGGACCCTGCCCGGCATCCCAACGGGCCTCTTGCTGCCCAAGTGTCCTCAAACTCCAGCTCCTGCTGCACCCTTGGCTGCCAGTTCCCCAGGAGTGAGGGGGTCTCCTAGGGCAGGGGCAGGGGCGACTTGAAGCAGGCAGATGACTGACCTCAGCTGTGCGGCTCAGGATGATCTTGTACCTGGCCTGGGGCAGAGGGCTGTGGAGGGTTTCCCCAGACCCGAGGCCTGGTCAGCCTTGCTTGGATAAGTCACTGGAAGGGGGGTTGAACGGAGGGACTGCCAGCAGGGAAGGTGGGTCCTGGCTGAGGCCAGGATGAGGCAGGACCATTGAGTCCACTGAGAAGCATGTGGGAATCAGGCTGCCAGAGTTGTGAAGGGGAGGTTGAGGCCACATGAGGAGACCCACCCCAACAGAGAGGCCACAGCCACCCAGGGACCCCCACAAGGGCCCATACAGGCTCCAGTGGGCATAGCTCACCAGCACTTCTGCCAGTTCCCGGGCCTGTGCCTGGCTAGGGAAGACTGCAGCCCCTCCGAACTTCACATCCACCACCAGAGCAGACAGGCTCTCCACCACCTTCTTACTGAGGATGGAGGCTGTGGAGGGTGGCAGAGGGGCTGGAGGTGATGGAGAGCCTGGTGCTTCCTGGGAGATGCAGGGGATGCCGACTCTGGGCTCAGTCAGTCATGAGGGGTCAGGAGCCCTGAACATTGGGGTCAAGTCCCCTATGATGGTGGTGACTGGGCTTGGTGGGTTGTGCATCAGTCAAGTCACCCTCTTGAATTGGTGATCAGGCATACTGTGATGAGGGGATGCTGACCCTGGGGTGGGGTCAGAGCACCTGTGATTGGGGGAGGTCCCATGGTCCCCTGATGAGAGGACCCTGACTCTGTGGTCAGGGGTCTTTAACATGCAGGTGGTGGACCCTGGAGTCTGGGGTCAAGTCACCTGTGATAAGTGGCAGGCTGTCAACAGTGGCTGTCACATCTCTGGCTTCATAAAGGATTCCATCAGCAGGAACCAGCTTCTTGCTCTGACCCACGATACAGCAGCCCACTTGCTCCAGGAGCCCTTGCATCTGGCAAAACCCCTCTGCATCAGGACTCCTAGTTACTCTCATAGACCTCTGATCAATGACCTCATCACTGACCCTGATCAGTGACGCATTATCAACCTTGACAAATGTCCAAAACCAGGACCAGTTACTTATGGAGGATTCTGATAAGTCCTCATTAATGACTAGTTTGACCCATTAGGGATATTGACCAATGCCCTATAGCCCATTAATGATTGATCAGAGGCCCAGCAGTGATTTTGACCAAGTCCCTATTAATGACTGCAGAGTTCCATTGATGACCTTGACCAAAGTCCAATGACCACCGATGACCCATGAATAACTTCATCAATATCCTCGTTAGTGACTCTGATTAATGACCCATCAGTGATCCTTCAGAAATTCTGGCCAATGTTTCCATCAATAACCCAGATCAATGACCAATCAGTGATCCACTTGTACCTGCTCTGGGCTCTGGATGACAGTGAATCCAGGAATAGACTCCAGTTTATCCAGTGTGCCCCCAGTGTGCCCCAGACCGCGTCCGCTGATCATTGGTACCTGCTGGGCAGGGATGCTGAGTACACCCGCGTAGTCACCGCCCTCCTCCACATTTCCCTCCCACATTCCCTGGTTAGGCCTTCAGCTGGAGTTAAGTATTTACTAAGCAGTTGTAGTGAGTGTCCAGCTGGTGGAGAGGGAACAGAAATTGTCCTGGTTTGGATGGGGGTGTCAGTCAGGGAGGAGGCTGGTACCTATCCCTGGGGACACAAGTCTGGGGTACTGAGAAAGAGGAGTATCCAGCTCTTCCCATAGGAGTCCTGTATGGGGTACTGAAGTGGAAGGGGAAGCTGGAAAATTGGATCTGTTATGGGGGACTGATGGGGAGGAGGACCAAACTTCTGCCTGGGGGTGGGGGGTGAGAAAACTGGGTCCTGCCTTTGGGGGCTCTCTTTGGGCCAGGTTTGAGGCTAGAAGCTATCTGTGGACTGCTAGCCTCTTTGAGGTCAAAGATTTTGGTCTGAAGAGGAGGCATCTTCTAACCTTGCAGCCACAGGCAGCCAGGGCAGGTGCCAGGACCAGGCTGACTTTGTCACCCACTCCTCCTGTGGAGTGTTTGTCTACGAGCTGCGAGCGCCAGGCCTCCGGCCACTCCAACTGCTGTCCGGACGTGGCCAGGGCCCGGGTCAGCGCCACGGTCTCCTCCAGATCCATGCCTCGCAGTCGGATGGCCATGAGCATGGCCCCTAGGTGTGGGGTACGGTGGTGTGGGCAGCATGAGGGAACGTTCCCCACGCGATGGGTTATCCTGAGGTCAGTGACAGTGGTGGGGCGCTATGGCGTCCCTGGGGCAGGCAGTCTCCGGGACTGACCTCTGGGTCGGGTCAGGGGCGCCCGGCCTTCCCTACGCACCGATTTGCGCGCCGTGCGCGCTCCCGTCCACCACGGCGCGCACGAAGCCCCTGATGTCCACATCACTCAGGCGGCCTCCGTCTCGCTTCAGGCGGATCAGCTCTGGGAGCTGCTTGGGCTCCGGCGGGAGGTCAGGAGGGCCCCGACTCCCGCCCTCCGAGAGGTCACCAGGCGCGACCGGGGCGGGTGGGGCCGAGGGTGCTGAGGTCGCTGGGGCGGCCATCGCTCCGTGCCTGCGGGGTGCAAGACACACTTGGCACCTGCCGCCGCCCTGCGTCCGTGTCTGGGGCAGGCGCACCTGTCCCAACCCCCTGCCCGTCTCTCTTGGGCCCGCCCCTCTTCCCGGGTCTGTGTTGCCGTGCGCGAGTCTCTGCGTCTGGCGCCAACTTCTAGACCTCACCACTTGACTCCAGCCCTACCTGACCTGTGCAGCGGCCCTGGCCCGTCCCCCTTAGGATTCTGGCCTCCTTCCGCCCTGCCGTGTCCGCGGCCACAGACCGAGGGGACACCGCCCTGGACGCGGCGGCGGGTGGGCAGGGCCGCGATTCCAACGGCCGCCAGAGGACGGCGGGCGGGTGGGGCCGCTCAGACAGGCAGGGTCCTGGGCCAATAGCCGCCTCAAGGAGGCGGGACAACCCTGCTCGATTCTGTCCCAGCCAATCACGAAGACCCACGAGAGCGCGACTTCCGGGACGTGGCGGGCCCGCCCCCCGCCCCACCCTTCCAGGGTCTGCCGGCTGGAGTGTCGCCGCGCCCGGGACCCCCGCCCCGCGCCCCCGGCATCTCGGCCCCGCCCCGCGCCCCGAGTCTCCCGCCCCGAGGCCCCCGCCCCGCCCCGAGTCTCTCCGCTCCACGTTCCCGCCCGTGCTCCCGAGTCAAGCACAAAGAGGCGGACACACTGCTAGCTCGGGAAGCTTGAAGCAAACATTTATGGGGCCGCGGCCGCCCGGTCGGTCAGTCATCCACGTCCGTAACGATCGGGGCCAGGTAGTCCGAGTGCCGGATCCCGAAGCTCCAGCCGCGAGGCTTCCGGGGCTGCGGACCCAGGAGGCGTCGCTGCCCTCGCGGAGCCAGCCTTCGGGCTCCGCGCCGGGACTCCCGTTACCCCCAGGACCCTGGTCCCAAACCTCGGACCTCAGACCCTCATCCCGGCCTCTGACCCTTGACCACCTGGTCTACGTTGTAGGCGGCGGGCCCGGGATTCAGGGTGTTGTCTTGGGGGAGCGAAGTCCGTGCCAACATCGTGAACTGGGGTGCCCGTGACTTGTAGATCCCAGGGTTCACCACGTGGTAGGCGCAGGGACCCGGGGTCTGCGGGAGGCGCAGAAGGAGCGCTGGGCCCGGGCTCCATTCACCGCTGACCGCTGATTCCCACCCCTTGTTTCTTGACCCTCTGCTGTCCGCGCAGCTGGCCCCTGCTACTCTGTGCACGGCAGCCCCTCCCCCACCTTGCTGAGGTCCTCGGAGAAGCAGCCCACTGCGCTGCGGCCGTAGATGGAGTAAGTCGGAGCCGAGACTTTACCGATGACGCGCGGGCCCAAGAGCGAGGGCACTGTGTAGGTCCCGGGGCCTGGAGAGGGAGCCACCGAGAGATGGGGTCTGGGGGTGGTTATTTGCGGACAGGCCCAGGGTCTCCCCGTCGCTGCGAGTACTGGGTGGTCCCAGTGCCTGGAGAGCGATTGAGCGATTCCCGGTCAGGGAATAGGAAGGGTCATGGTGCTGGAATGGGCCTTTCTGGTCTCACCTGGGGTCTGCTGCTCCGCTTGGATGCCCCAGTTTCGAGGAGCGATGGTGTGCCGAGGCGCGCTGGGGTATGTCACGTTCCCCGCTCGCTCTGGGAAGTACCTGCCTGCGGGGCGGACCGAGGGTGTGGGCCACAACCGGGTTGGGGGCCTTGTGGGGACCCGGGCTGGCGTCCTGGGAATAGGAGGAATCCGAGCCACAATTTGTCAAAGCTCGGTGGGGCTTGGAGTTGTTTTGAGATCTGGATATGGGGGTACCGAATTTAGTGTTAGGGTACCCGAGGGGGGCTCGGGGCTCAGGTGGGGGGTTCCCGAGTGGGCTTCCCCTGATGCGGCTAGGTGTTGGGGAGGCCGGGGTCCCAGGGGTCCTGACCTGGTCCGGGAGTGAGGAAGGGCGCTGCGTGGCGCGGGCGGCCATAGATGGAGTAGGCGGGGCTGCCGTCTGGGCCGCGCACAGTCATGCGAGCGGGCACCAGGTGGCCCGGCCCCGGGCCGCACGAAGTCTGCTGCGTGGGGAGGCGCGTGCCGAAGCTGAAGGCGGGGGCGCGGGTCCGCGACGGGTCGTGTAGGATGTAGCCTGCGGGAGTGTCCCAGCATTACCACGCGGCCTGGCCGCTTCTCGCCCTGGGCAAAGCCCACCGTCCCCCCAGAACGGAATTCCCTCCCTTCCACCCTCCAGCCCGGGGTGCAGCACCCCTTCCCGAGACGGACCTCGCTAGCCTGCCCCCCCGCCCCGCACAGTCCTGACCCCGCCGCTGGTACCCGTGTTCGGTGGCAGCTTATATTTGGGCCCTGGGCCTCTGTAGAGCGCTGCGATGGGGCCACGGGGCCGGTGTGGCCGCCAAGGGCCGACCCAGACGTCCGAGCCCATGGCGTGGTGAGGTGTGCTTACGGCCTGCAGCACCTGTGGACAGAAGGTGGCGGCCCCGGCCCCTCCACCCCGAACTCGCGGGAAACGCTCTTCCCCGCTCCGGTCTAGCTCAGCCCGACTCCGGGGGCGGGGCCCATCCCGTATCCCAGGCGCCAGGAAAACAAACAGTGGCTATCCAGCTCTGTGGGGGACGTGGAGCAGGGACCGAGCTTCAAGGCCATCTCTCGTCCCCTACCCCCAAAATGAGTTCTATAGGGGCGTGTGTGCGAGCGCCAAGTTTGGACTCAGCACTGCGGGAAGGGGATTACCCGGAGTTCGGGGGTGGGGGTGGGTGAGGAGCGGGATATTTTAGGGGCATCGAGCGAGGATGCCGGGGCGAGGGGCGGCGTGGGGGCCGAGTGGGGGCCCCGAAGTTGACGCACTGACCTGTTCCCGTGGCTCCCAGCTGGGAAGGCAAGGTGGAGTGCCTGCATTCCCGCCCCCGCCCGGCCCAACTCCCAGACCCCATTGTGTCCAGGTCCCGCCTCCTGGCAACCGGACTGACCGCCCCCGACACCAACCTGACTCCGCCCCTCGCCCGCAGGGGCCCTCCTTGGAGTCCATGGCACTGGCACGTGTCCTGCAGGCCAGGCCACGGACCAGACACCCTCCCCAGGCTTCAGTATACCCATTACAGAAATGGACAGATCTGCACAGAAAAACAAGTATAAGAATAAAGAAATTGAACAGTACAAACCGCATACTCAATTTAAACGTTAAGTGTAGAGAACTTTGCATGTGTTTAAGCCCATGGAATATTTGCAAAGAATAATCATACTGGGCCAAAAACTCCCATACAAGTTGAATAAAGCGATATGATAGGACACATGATTTGATCAGTCTAAACCAATTCTAAACAAACGATAAAACAGTTTTTAAAAAAGAAAGAAACAGGGGCTGGCTGCATAGCCGAGTGGTTAAGTTCGCGCACTCCGCTGCAGGGGCCCAGGGTTCAGATCCTGGGCGACGACATGGCACCGCTCATCAGGCCACGTTGAGGCAGGGTCCCACATCCCACAACTAGAAGGACATGCAACTAAGATATACAGCTGTGTACAGGGGGGGTTTGGGGAGATAAAGCAGAAAAAAAAACAAAGATTGGTAACAGTTGTTAGCCCAGGTGCCAATCCTTAAAAAAAAGAAAAAGAAAGAAAGAAAGAAGGAAACAAATACTTAAAAATTAACAAATTCTCTTCTTAAAAAGCCCTGGATCAAAGAGAAACTCAAATGTGAAGTTACAAATTGTGTATCAAACAGTGCAGGGGCCACCCTGTGGCTAAGTGGATAAGTTCCGGGCCTCTGCTTTGGTGGCCCAGGGTTTTGCTGGTTTGGATCCTGAGCACTGGCATGGCATCAGTTGTCAAGCCATGATGAGGTGGCATTGCACATAGCACAATCAGAAGGACCTACAACTTAGACTATACAACTATGTACTGGGGGACTTTGGGGAGAAGAAGAAGAAGAAAACAAAAAAAACAGAGCAAAGGTAGATCCCTAAATGTGAAGTTACAAATTATATATAAAACACTGAAAAGGCAGATCCCTTCATACCCAACTCTATAGAACATAGCCAAAGCTGTATTCAGAGGAAAACATATAGCCTTAAATGACTTCATTAATGAAGAAAAATTTTAAATAAAACTTACTGTTTGTCTTAGAAATACTTAGTAATACAAACAGAAAAAAGAATAAAATAAACTAAAAGAATAAAACAGGAACCAACACAAACAAAATAATAGGATGAATAAATACAATAGCTATTTTTTAAAAGAAGACAATTAAGTAGATAAATGCTTTAATGAGCTTGATCAAGGGGGAAAAGTAAAAGTATACAAAATTAAGAATGAGAAAATGTGGGGCGGGCCCAGTGGTACAGCAGTTATGTTGGTACATTCCACTTTGGAGGTCCGGGGTTCACCTGTTTGGATCCCAGGTGCAGACATGGCGCCGCTTGTCAAGCCATGCTGTGGCGGGAGTCCCATATATAAAGTTGAGGAAGATGGGCATGGATGTTAGCTCAGGGCCAGTCTTTCTCAGCAAAAAGAGAAGGATTGGCAGCAGATGTTAGCTCAGGGCTAATCTTCCTCAAAAAAAAAAAAGATGTGCCTCGAGCTATTAATGGATGTATGTTTTACATGGAGATAAATTATAATCCAGTTTTTAAATAGCTACTCAAAATTTTACACCACTTGAAATTAGATTTGAACAGTTTCGGTGGCCCTTTCTGTAAATTTATTTTGGAAGACGTTATGCATAGCATCTACCTCCAGAGGGCGCTCTGTACATGCTGCACCACCTGGCCCCTCTCCCTTCCCACTGATTGCTCAGTTTCTCTATCAGTCAGGATTTGTTTTATCATCGTTGAAGTTTTTTGTAATATTTGGCAAGGAAGAGATTTACTTTTTCTTTCGATTTACTTTGTTCTTATTTTTCACAAATTTTAAAACTAATATATAAGGTATGTATGAGTTCTACCTTCAACATTACCATCTTTCATTGGAGGCGTCCTCCTTTTCTCCCACCTAAATGCTTCTAAATAAAACATAATAGATTTTCTTTGTTTCCTCAACTGTTATGTGTTCTTTGATTTCTTTCAGCAATGTTTTGTAGTTTTTGGCGTACAAGTCTTTCATCTCCTTGGTTAGATTTATTCCCGAGTATTTAATTATTTTAAATAGTATTGTAAATTAAATTGCTTTCTTAATTTCTTCTTCAGATTGTTTGTTGCTGGTGTATAGAAACACAACTGATTTTTTTTTTTCTTGAGGAAGGTTAGCCCTCAGCTAACTACTGCCAGTCCTCCTCTTTTAGCTGAGGAAGGCTGGCCCTGAGCTAACATCGTGCCCATCTTCCTCTACTTTATTTGTGGGACGCCCACCACAGCATGGCTTTTACCAAGTGGTGCTATGTCCACACCCGGGATCCAAACCGGCGAACCCCGGGTCGCCAATGCAGAACGTGCGAACTTAACCGCTGTGCCATCGGACCGGCCCCGAAACACAACTGATTTTTTGTGTATTGATCTTGTATTATGCAATTTTGCTGAATTTGTTTATTAGCTCTAGTTGCTTACTTGTTGATTCAATGTATAATTTTATATGTATAAGATCGTGTCATCTGTGACTAGAGTTAGTTTTACCTCTTCCTTTCGAATTTGGATGCCTTTTTCTTTTAGATTTTTAAATTTTTCGTTTTTCTCCCCAAAGTGCCCTGGTACATAGTTATGTATTTTTAGTTGTAGGTGCTTCTAGTTGTGGCATGTGGGACGCCACCTCAGCATGGCCTGATAAGTGGTGCCGTGTCCGCGCCTGGGATTCAAACTGGCGAAACCCTGGGCTGCCAAAGTGGAGTGCACGAACTTAACCACTCAGCCATGGGGCTGGCCCCATGGATGCCTTTTTATTATTTTCTGGAGAGCTCTGGCTAGAACTTCCAGTACAATACTGAATAGCTTCAGTGAATGCAGCATTCTGTCCTTGTTCCTGATTTTAGGGAGAGGGAACATTTTCAATCTTCACCATTGAGTGTGATGTTAGCTATGGGTTTTTCTTAAGTGTCCTTTATCATGTTGAGGTAGTTCCCTGTAATTCCTAGTTTTCTGAGAGTTGTTTTTTTTTTTTTTTTTTACCCTGAAAAGGTACTGAGTTTTGTCAGGTCCTCTTTCTGTGTCAATTGAGATGATAAAATCTTTTTCTTTTTCTTTTCTTTTCTTTTCTTTTTTTTGAGGAAGATTGTCCCTGAGCTAACATCTATGCTAGTTTTCCTCTACTTTGTATGCAGGACACCTGCCACAGCATGGCTTGATGAGCAGTGTGTAGGTCCACGCCTGGGATCCAAACCTGTGAACCCCAGGCTGCCAAAGTGGAGCATAGGAACTTAACTGCTACGCCACTGGGCCAACCTCTAAAGTGCTTTTTTCTTCTTTGTTCTATTAATGTGCTCTAGTATGTTAATGTATTGTAATCAGTGTATTACATTGATTGATTTTCTTATGTTGAACCGCTCTTACTTTCCTGGGATGAATCCCATTTGGTCACAATGTATAATCCCCTTAATATGCTGCTGGATTCAGTTTGCTAGTGTTTTGTTGAGGATTTTTGTATCTACATTCATAAAGGATATTCGTCTGTAATTTTCTTTTCTTGTGATGTATTCATCTGGTTTTGGCATCAGGGTAATGCTGGCCTCATAGAATAAGTTAGGAAGTATTCCTGCCTCTTCAATTTTTTGAAAGCGTTTGAGAAGGATTGGTGTTAATTCTTCTTTAAATGTTTGGTAGAGTTCACCAATAAAGCTCTCTGGTCCTGGAATTTTCTTTGTTGGGAGGTTTTTGATTATTGATTCAACCTCTTGTTCTAAGTCTGTTGAGATTTTCCATTTCTTCTGAGTTTGTTTTGGTAGTTTGTGTGTTTCTAGGAATTTGTCCACTTCATCTAGGTTATCTAATTTGTTGGCATATAATTGTTCATAGTATTCTCTTATAATGTCTTTTTTTTTCTATAAGGTCGGTGGTAATGTTCCCACTTTCATTTCTGATTTTAGTTATTTGTATCTTCCTTTTTTTCTTGGTCACTCTAGCTAGAGGTTTATAAATTTTGTTGATCTTTGCAAAGAACCAACTTTGGTTTCATTGTTTCTTGTTTTTCTTTTAATTCTACATAAGACACTCAGAAAACCTGATTATTGTATAATAAAGTCAATGTTTATTTAGATATTCATGTACTCACCACTTGTTCTTTCCTTCTGGCATTCATAGTTCTTTCATCTGGTGTGATTTTCTTTTTTTTCTTTTTCCTTTTTTTTTTTGAGGAAGATTAGCCCTGAGCTAACTGCTGCCAATCCTCCCCTTTTTGCTGAGGAAGACTGGTCCTGAGCTAACATCCGTGCCCATCTTCCTCTACTTTATACGTGGGACGCCTACCACAGCATGGCTTTTGCCAAGCGGTGCCATGTCTGCACCTGGGATCCGAACCCCGGGCCACTGAGAGGCAGAACGTGTGCACTTAACCGCCGTGCCATCAGGCCAGCCCCTGGTGTGATTTTCTTTATGCCTGAAATATATAGTTTAGAATTTCCTTCAGTGAAGACTCTCAGTGTTCATTTGTCTGGAAATGTTTTTATTTTGCCTTCATTCTTTAAAGATATTTCTTGTAAGTATAGAATTTTAGATTGGTAGTTATTTTCCTTCAGCACATTGAAAATTTCATTGCATTGTCTTCTGACCTCATTTGTCTGTCATTGAGAAGTCAGATGTAAGGCTATCATTCCTTTGTAGGCTGTCTGTCTTTTTTCTCTTGTTCCTCTTGAGATTTTCCATCTTTTGTGTTTGCCACAGTTTTACTCTGATGTATCTTGGTATTCATTTCCTTTTCTTTCTCCTGCTTGAGATGCATTGGGTCTTTTGAATTGCTGAATTGTCTTCTATCAGTTGTCATCTTTATGACATTGTTTTCCACTCCCTGTATGTGGCAAATGTCTGCATCGATTTAGAATTTTTAAAAAATTTAAACTTACATTTGGACTGAATTTAGCAACTGATTTCAAGATTCAGACAGTGTATATTCTCCCCTTGGAATAAGAGGTGACTTTCATTATGCTTTGCTCTTTCTTCTCCTGCCCTTCCATGGTTTGTCCTTTTTTTTTTTTTTTTTTGAGGAAGGTTAGCCCTGAGCTAACATCTGCTGCCAATCCTCCTCTTTTTTTTTTTTTTTGCTGAGGAAGACTGGCCCTGAGCTAACATCTGTGCCCATCTTCTTCTACTTATTATATGTGGGATGCCTACCACAGCATGGCTTGCAAAGCAGTGCCATGTCCACACCCAGGATCCAAACCGGCAAACCCTGGGCCGCCAAAGTGGAATGTGCATACTTAACTGCTGTGCCACTGAGCCAGCCCCAAGGTTTATCCTTTTTTAAAGATTTTATTTTATGCCTCATTTATTACAAGACTCCCCATTAATATTTGTATTAAACTTCACAGCTACATTATCAATAATTATTTAAATAAGTTTTTCAATACCACATTTTAAAGTCATGTGCGTATTTTCTTCATCATTTCCATATTGTTGAATGCTTACATATTTTAACTTTTTCCACTATAAATCATATTGTATTATTTCTCTCTCTCTTTTTTTGGTGAGGAAGATTGGCTCTGAGCTAACATCTGTGCCGATCTTCCTCTACTTTGTATGTGGGACGCCACTACACCATGGCTGATGAGTGGAGGAGGTCCACACCTGGGATCTGAACCCGTGAACTCTTGGCTGCTGAAGCAGAGTGCACGGAACTTTAACCACTCGGCCACAGGGCTGGCCCTAAATAACTTTTTTTGCGTGTAAACTTTTCCCAAATCAGATGAATTCCTTCAGAGCTATTCCTTGTTGGGTGTAATGACTAAATCTGGGATTTATATTTTCTAAGACTTAAACATTATTCTAGATTTATTTACACATATATAAAAATGCACATATACTTTTAATATAAATAGGATTATATAATAATATTATATTCTTTGTTTTATATCATCATTGCTGATTATACAATATTTCTTTCTTTTTAAAAATTCCGGTAATAGAGAAACTCTACACTTGATGGGGTTTTCTACTTATGTATATTAGCTGTCTATTTGTATTCAGCTTTCCATTTGGAACTGTCTTCATTTCACTATGCTTTTCATCCACTAGATGTTCCGGAAAGGGCGCAACTAGAACAATTATTTATGTTTCAAAACTTGTGTAGGTGATCCCATGTGCTTTTGAAGTTCTGTTACCTTTTCAGCAGTACTACATTTTTACTCTCTCTAGGAAGTTAGGAGGGCAAAACTCCCAAAATTTAGGGAGGTAGCATGTCCTCAGTCACCTTCCCAATAAGAAGTTTCTCCATGCAGGGCAGAGTTTTTCCTTTGATCTGGATTTTGGCAAAGGGGGGTGTTTTCTTTCCAAAGAGGATGGGACTAGACCCTTCCTTGGTCACCTGTGTGTCTCTAGGACCGACCATGGTTCTTAGCGCCTTGTGAAGTTGGTTGGGCTGATTTCCTATGCTCAGTTCCTCCACACTATGGTGTCCTAAGGTATCACTTGGTGGACACTTCTATTCTCTGACAGCAACCTGGGGCTTGGACTGACAAGAGGGAACTTCATGAAGCTGGGAGTAGGGGCTAGCCCTGTGGCCTAGTGGTTAAGTTCAGTGCATACCACTTCAGTGGCTTGGGATTGTGGGTTTGGTTCCTGGGTGTGGACCTACACCACTCATCAGCCGTGCTGAGGCAGCGACCCACATACAGAAAAATAGAGGAAGGTTGCCACAGATGTTAGCTCAAGGAGGATCTTCCTCAGAAAAACAACACCAAAAAAGAAGGTGGGTGGAGATACCTAATGGTGTACTGCATGGCCTATAAGGAGGTGTAGATGGGGGTGTCACTTCCATCGTCTCAAGGTCTTTGGACCCTAAACTTAACCCAGAGGCAGAGCCTGGAGCCAGGACAGAGATTAAGGGCAGTGTCCAGAAAGTCTGCCCCCAGCTTGAGGTCCACCTTAAGGCATGGGCCCACCTTCCACCCTCTTACTGTCATCTAATATGCTTGTGGGGCGGGGGGGTGCTGGGAGGCGACCAGATGGGTGAGATACTAAGGCTCAGCAGAGCCCAGGCTGGGTGCCAGGGCTACTTCCTGGCCATCTCCTTGCTGCCTAAGTAGGGAGAAGTCCTGTGTCCCAGAAGAAGGAACAAATACACATTGTGGGGGGCCCTGTCTTTGTCCCAGGGACTCCAGGCTCTTTTTCATGTCTGGACCCCACCTGGCACCTGTCCCAAGACTTACTCCTAAGATCAACTTAAGTGAGAAGCAGACAGAAGAGACAAATCTCTTCCTCAGAGAAACCAAGTGCTAGGGGGAGGCCAGGTGCATGCCCCATGCGAGCATCCACATGCCTGCCTGTGAGGGGCTTGAGTGCTGACAAGGAGGATGGGGATGGAGTGACTCGGCCAGAACTGAGATGGGACACCCAAAGGTCAGGCTGATAGAGCACGGGGGACGAAGGAGGGCTTCTAAAGGACCCTGGGGGCTGGCTGATGCGGTAAGGGGAGTAGGAGCAGACGGCTCAGGGCTCTCCAGGGGCATAGTGAGAGCAGCATCTGGGCAGTCAAGACAGTCCAGAGGGTGCAGGCAGTGGCCCAGGGGGTTCTAGAAGAGCCACGTGGGTTGCAATAAGCCAGACCAATAAAGAGGGAAATACAACTTTTGAATTTTCTGTATTTCATTCATTTTTTCCTCTTGACAGCTTGGAAAATTCCTTTTGAAAACTCTATCGCATCTCTGCTGAACTCAGGGTAAGGAAAGTCCAGAGGCTGCTGGAGGAGCGGGTGTTGGGGCTTCAGCCTTGGCCCACCCTTAGTGCCCTTATGTATCCCGGAGAGAACAGTGCAAGCCTCCACTTCACCCTGTGGTGACAGGAGGTCACACCTTCTCAAGCTACCCGTCTCTGTGCTGGATGGTGCTTCCTGTCAGGACTCGTGCCCTCTCTGCTCTCCCTCCTCAGTCTGAGACCTGCCTGCAGGGTTGGCACTGCAGGGCATGTCTCCCCCATCCCCCCAGCCACCCTGTAGTGTGTTTCTGGGTTCTTGGGTTTCTGGTAATTTCATCAGGGCTGCATCATGTTGCTAAAGCCACAGATAACATCTCCCTGTGGGTAACTCTTCCCTGACAGAGCCCCCTGAGGCTGGACCCAGGCTCAAAGGAGAGACACTGGTGTCTGGGGTGAGTTTAGGGGTGTGAGGGTTGATTAGGTTGGTTGGGATACTGGAAGTGTTGAGGAACACTGCCATTTGCCACTGAAACCTGTGGGAAATGAGAAGGGGGCAGGAGCTGGGCTGGGGGGCCTGGAGAGGCCCCTGAGATCTGGAGCTTTTGCAGATTATGTTGTCTCCTGATATCTCCAACTAGGCCCTCCTGACAAACCCCCAAGCCTGGGTGGAGGCAGAGAGACTCACCTCCTCCCAGGCGAGGAAGAGTATCTAGCCCCCAGCACAGGTCCACCTTAACGGAGCAGCCCTCTGGGCGGGGCGTGTTGCTGATGTCATCTGTGCAGACGGCAGCCCAGGCCTGAGTGCAGGACAGGCTTGTGTGCAGCACACGCAGCTTCCAGCCTGCTGCCCCAGCTCCTCATGCTGAGTCTGCAGCCCAGCACCATGATCCGGGGTGCCTTGGAGCCTGACAGCCCTGGCTGGGGCTGGGATGTGGACGGGGACGACGACTGGGATGGCACCGTGCTGACTCTGCTGGCGCTAGCTGTGGTGGCCGCCACAGCACTGGCTTTGCACTGGTTCGGCTCTGGACAGGACCAGGAGGTGGCAGGACCAGTGTCCACAGCCCCCCAGGCCCAGCCTTCTCAGGCAGGAGGAGACAGGGGAGCCCTGCTCCCAAAGTACCAGGTCAGTGATGGCGTCGAGGGACCCAGCTCAGGGCAAGGGAAGTCAGACCTTCCAGGACACGACCAGGGGAGTCTGGCAGCAGCAGGAGCCCAGGATCAGGAGCCCACGGGAGGTAGAGGTCTGGCTGCCACAGCTGAACCGCCACTCAAAATACCTGGCGAGATGGCCAGTGGAAGGGCCTTGGGACAGCAGTATGGTACTGCCACCCCAGAAGCCCCCCAAGGTAAAGGACGTGAGCCTTTCAGGCCATGTGCTGCCCTCCTGGATAGGAAAAAATTAGGGGGGACACCTGCCCCCCTGCTGATACACTTCACCTCTCGGAGTCCTGGCAGAGAAGTGGAGATGCAGGTAGAGGCAGGAGGCGTCCGAGCCAAGGTGCCAGCTCACCAGGGCCCCGTCCACACAGAGAAACAGGACACCAGCCCCTGGCAACGAGGTGTGGGGACACATGGCTCACTGGGGAGAGGCCCAGGAAGCCGGCGGTGGCAGGTGGACAACAGCTCAGGAGATAGAACTTGCCAGCCCACAAAGCTGGACCCCCTATGCCTGGCCACTGTGGTGAGTGTGTGGGATACCGTGGATGCAGCCAGCAGCCTCTCTGCAAGCTCCCAGAGACCCCTTCTCCCCGAGGAGCTGCCGCCATCACACACCCTGCAGACCAGGCCCATAACAGGTGGCTCAGAGGTGGGGCCTGGGGAGAAGGGGCCTCTAATAGCCCCAGGCCTAGCCGTGGACTCAGGAGCCAAAGGTGCTGAGAGCAGGGAGTCTGGGCCCCAGGCCCCCAAGGAGTCTCAGGGGTCCCCAGCTTCCGTGGAAGGCTGGCCTTGGGCAAGAAAGGAGGTTCTTGTCACCAGGAGCTTCAGTCAGGCCCCAGGCTCCATGGGCCCATGGCTAGAGGAACCGCAGTGGGGACGCCCCCTCTTGTCCCAAGGGCAGGGAACCACAGAGGCCTGCAATGTGGGAAAGGCTGAGGCCAATGGCTCTGGAGACCAGTCTTTCTTCAGCTCAGGGCCGGGCAGGACAGAGAAGCCAGCGGGCCCAGGCATCAAAGAAGGGAGTGGATCCTGGCAAGGCCAGGGGGAACAGAGCAGTGCACAGGCAGCTGGAGGTCTGGGTGGAGGGAAGCCAGTCACAGACATCCTCAGCGACGCCCCTGCCCTGAGCCCTTCAGCCACCCTCCCCGCACACACCCCTAAGCATCCCCCACCCTCAGCTTCCCCGCCCACAGTACATCTGCACCGAGGTCTCTTTCCTGTAACCCCGACTCCTCCCAACTCGTGTCCTTCAGACTCTTTGCCCCTCAGGGTTAGCCAGGGTCCTGCTGAGGATGAAAATCTCAGAGCAGTGCCAGCCCCCGCCCCATCCCCTGCCCCAATCTCAGCCCCAGTTGCAGCCCCAGCCCCTGCCCCAGCTAGTGGGTCAAGACCTGCATCTCAGGAGCCCAGTGTGGCTCTCTGCCAGGGCAACCAGGAGGGGCAGATCTCAACCAGGTGGGGAAACCTTATTTCTATGGTTCTTAGGAGTCACCCCTTCCCCAGGCAAGAGAGGCCTCAAGGGAGAGCCTCGAGGGCAGCTCTGGAAAGCCTTAGAGATGCCAGCTCTTCCACACACTCTGAGAACAGAGAGTCTGGTTCTCCCCTTGAAGGGGCTGTCCCCACCCTGGAGGACAGGCACAGCTCCTCAGTCAGGATGGTTGCAGAGGTAGGCACAGGGGTTCTAGCTGGGGCTGGACGTCAGCCACAGCAGAGAAGCTCCGAGACGAGCAGGGCTCTCACCCCAGGCCCTCCCTCAGGCCCAGGAGAAAATGGAACTGAGGAGAAATGTCTGGACTCCCTACTGCCACCAGCTGCAATGCCCAGGACACCCTCACAGCCCCCTGAGCAGACACAGCCTAGTCCTGCACCCTCCCCTGCTGCGAGGTGGCACTCACAGCCTGTTCCCCGGCCACGGCCAAGGAAACGCAGCCTGTGTGAAATAGCCGAGAGCTCTGAGCGGGAGACCAGCCAGGAGGCCACAGGGCAACACCAGGGAGAGGCGCCAGTGGGGAGGCACAGCCCCCCAGGCAGTGGAGGGGGTCTCACAGAGAAGCAGAAAGAGGCCCGCAAACTCATGGTGTTTCTGCAGAGGCCCGGGAGCTGGGGGGTAGTGGAAAGGCCCTGGAAACCCAGCTCCCCAGCCTGCAAGCCGGCTTCAGCAGCAGCTCTGCAGTGGCGACTGGGTCTGGGCAGCTGCCTGGACGTCCTGGCCTTCGCCCAGCAGCACGGGGAGCGTGGCCTGGCCCAGGACGCCTATGCCTTGATGAGTGACAATCTGCTTCAAGTGCTGGGAGACCCAAACCTCTACCGAAGGCTGAGTGGGGCTGACCGGGAGCGCATCCTGAGCCTTCGGACGGGCCGGGGCCAGGCGGTGCTGGGGGTCCTTGTGCTGCCCAGCCTCTACCAGCTGAGCCGCTCGGGGCTCACAAGGGGCCCCCGTGGGGAGGAGGCTCCTGAGGCCGGGTCTGTGCCCCTGCTTCCTCGCATGCACCTGCACATGTTCAACCCCCAAGAGAACAGATGGCGGCGCCTGACACAGGTGCCTGAGGAGGCCCCGCTGAGGGGTTGTGCTCTCTGCACCATGCACAACTATCTGTTCCTGGCGGGGGGCATCCGTGGCTCCGGTACCAAGGCTGTCTGCTCCAATGAGGTCTTCTGCTACAACCCTCTGACCAACATCTGGAGCCAGGTGCAGCCCATGCAGCAGGCCCGCGCCCAGCTCAAACTGGTGGCCCTGGATGGGCTTCTCTATGCCATCGGGGGTGAGTGCCTGTACAGCATGGAGTGCTATGACCCGCGCACAGATGCCTGGACCTCATGCGCACCCCTCCCTGCAGGCACCTTCCCTGTGGCACACGAGGCTGTGGCCTGCCGTGGGGACATCTATGTCACTGGGGGCCACCTCTTCTACCGCTTGCTCAGGTACAGCCCTGTGAAGGATTCGTGGAACGAGTGCCCCTACAGTGCCAGCCACCGGCGTTCCAGCGACATGGTGGCGCTCGGAGGCTTCCTATACCGCTTTGACCTGCTGCGGGGTGTGGGTGCCGCTGTGATGCGCTACAACACCGTAACAGGGTCCTGGAGCCAAGCTGCCTCCCTGCCGCTGCCTGACCCTGCTCCGCTCCGCTGCACAGTTCTGGGCAACACCATTTACTGCCTCAACCACCAGGTCACGGCCACCTTCATGGTCTCCGAGGGGACTGCTCAGTTCCAGGCCAAGGAGCTGCAGCCCTTTCCCTTGGGAAGTAAGGGGGTTCTCTGTCCATTCGTCCTGACTGTTCCCCCTGCAGATCCGCTGCAGAGTGCCCTCTGACCAGCTGCTAGAGCACCAGGAGAGCCAATGCTTTCCGGGGAGGCCCTGGGGCCAAGGGGTGGGAGGTCTGAGGGCAAGTGGGGCACAGGGAGGTGGCTGGGATCCAGAACTTTCTGTTGTTGTTTCTGGGACAACTTTCCTTTTCTTTTATAATAAGGCTGGTGATTTCCCCTGTCCACTCCCTGCCCCTCCCCTGAGAGAGCCCAGGTTCCCTGCCTCTGTGACCTGCTCCTGCCTTTATGACTCAGTTCTTGCCCCAATTCCTTCCCTGGTTACCCAATGCCTTGGCTCACTCACAACCCCTCCTCAAGGCAGAGCTCCCCTTCTCTGGGCTTCCACAAGCCAGGCTCCCCTGTCATAGTACCAACCACACTACCTGGAAATAATATGCCTGTGGGACTCCCCGGTACTTTGAGAGCCAGGTCACTGATGTGTACTGAAGGACCAGGACTTGTCCCACTGAGAAGCTCTGTGACTGCTGAGCCGAGGAAGGAGATGGCTGGAAACACATTGGTGCTTCCTACATTCTGACCCTAGGGCTCCAAGCTAGGCAAGCAGCCCATGAGTGGGCGGAACAGGGAACCAGGGGCAAAGAAGTCCCAGGAAAACATCCTTGCTTCTGGGACTTTCTGCCTGTCCTGAGGCTGTGGGGAGCCTGGCTTGGCTCTCCCCAGGAACAACTCGGTAGCCCTCCTTTGTCTGACTGGTCCTCAAGGACCTAGAGCTCTTATCTGTGAAACTGCTCTGCTGTCTGTAGCCCCTGCCCATAATCCCAGCCCAGACCTGGCCAGGACTACTTGGGCTTATGCCCTTCCGCATCGTTGTGGGGTCTCTCCTGCCTGCTCAGCCCCTCCAGAAGCCTGCCCCACTTCCCACCAATCCCCTTTTTCAATGAGACCTGGGTTTCTGCCTAGCTCTGCCCCTTATTAGCTGTGTGGACTTGGACAAGATATCTAACTTCGTTTTTCTCATCTGTGAAATGGAGATGATGAACATTTGTCACTCAGGAGAGTTTGAGAACATAAGATCACCTATGTGAGCACCTAGCACAGTGCCCAGGGTACATAACTGAATAAATAATGTTCCCCTTTATCCACTTTGGAACTACCATAGGAAGGTGAATAAATCTGAATATTGCTGCCTGTCCTGCCCTCTGACTTCGTTTGCCCCTGTTTGGAAACTTTTTTGCTTTTTATTCTATGCGTGGCACTACTGGCACTAAATATGTTTAATTCGTTGAAAGCATCTGCATCTCATACTTATCAGGTTTAGTTCACAAGATCTGATATGAAGCTGGGTAGGAAAGAGAGGCATCCTCAGGTTGTGCCTGAAAATAAGTTTATTGAGAAACGAGCACTGTGCAAACAGCTACATATTTGGGTCACTGTTACTCTGCCAGGCAGAAAGGCTGTCCCCCAGTAGCTTCTCCCCGTAGGCAAACGGCAGCATGGCGACCACGGCGGGGAGGGAGCCTACTGCTTGCGCGTGGTCTCACTGAGCAGCTCTTGCCAGTTCTTCTCCATCTCCTCCTTGCAGTTGAGAAAGGCGTCCTCCAGCCGCCGCATGGACTCTGCCAGTGTGGGGTTGGTACGCATCACCACCATGTCGTAGGCCATCCATGTGGCCTGCACTGCAACAACCAGACAGGCCCTGGTCATGCCACAGGGTAGGGCTGCAGCTCTGGGGCATCCTGGGGAGGGAAGGACACCTCCAACCATGCTCAGCATCCCAGGAACCTGACCCTGCTGAGTCACTCAGTTACTCTAAGGAGAGAAAGCTGATAGGCTATATGTTATAGGGCTCATAAAAACCCTTATTAAAACTGCTCCCTACATAAAGCAGTAATGAAACTTCTCTAATCTCACACAGGTCTTAAATTCTGGATACATCAGCCCATGACACTAAAAGGCTGGAGGCCAGTGTGATATGAAATGTCAGGAAAAATCAGAGCAAACACAGGTCCTTATCTATCCACAGCTCACAGCGAGTGGTTGCAGGGTGACTCCCAAGAAGTTATAACACCTACCCAAGTTCACACGCTCAGGTAGGGTGACCACTCCCAGTCCCGGAAGGCACTGAGCCTCATGTTACCTCTGTTAGTGGCCTGGGATGCCTGCCCACCTCCACCTGGGCACCTTTGTGCTTTCATTAAGGCCAGCCCAGAGGCTCTTCCTGCTGGGAAGGTTTGCTGTGGCCCATGTTGGCTGCCCTTTGGTGCTCACCACTGCACTGACAGACTTTCTTGCTCCTTCCCTTTGAGAGCAACTGGAGGGCCTGTGGGCCTATGGGTGAATGTGTGCTTCTTGCACAAATTCAACAGAAGCATGCAAAAATCCCACCTCTACATCCTCCTCTCTGCAGTACCCACCCCACTGGTGTGGTTCTACCCTCTACAACTAAGAAATACATGGGTTATCTCCCTTCTGCATGACAGCCAACCACAGTAAATACATCTCCTTCAAAATCCTCTTTTCAGGGGCTGGCCCCATGGCCGAGTGGTTCCGGGGCTCCACTTCGGCGGCTCAGGGTTTCGCTGGTTCGGATCCTGGGCGTGAACCTAGAATGGCTCATCAAGCCATGCTGAGGCAGCGTCCCACACAGCAGAACTAGAAGGACCTACAACGAGAATATACAACTGTGTACGGGGTAGGGGTGGGGGGCGCTTTGGAGAGAAGAAGAAAAAAATCCTCTTTTCTGGGCTAAGAAATACTGGATACTTTGGAAAACTATGTCCTCAAGGAAATTAACCAAAGAAGGGATAGGCAGAATGATTAACAATAAATGTACATGTATATCTACACACAACTGAGGTCAGCAGCGTGGCACACTCGAAGTTTTACAGAAAGTAACATCTGTTTGGCTAGGGAAAACCTGTTAGAAAAGGTATGTACAATATCTCAACAAATACAGGAAATACGACTATATAGGTAGTACAGGAATTATTGAACTTTTGGAAGCTGGAGAGTCACTTGGAACACCTGTTAAAATGTAGACTGCTGGCACCTCTCACAACTCAAAGAAGATCTTGTCCAGCAGGTTGGGAATGGTGCCCAGGAACCTGCATCTTCTGGATAATTCTGGTGGAGGGAGCCTGCAGACCATCCCTTCAGACCACCTGCCAGCAGGTTCATGGAGCATGGACCTGGGAGTCAGAGCAGAGTTTTCTTCCCAGCTCTCCACTTGCTAGCTGTGTCACCGAGAACAAGTTACTTAAACTTACTAACCTCAGTCTCCTCATCTGTAAAGGACAGACAATGTCCCAATCTCGTGGCTTGCTGTGAAGATTAAATGGATTAAATATGTAAACTGCCTAGCACGTGTTAGGTGCTCGAGAAAGCAGAAACTCTTACTCTAAAATAAATAATTGAGGTGACATACCAAAAACTTATACAGTGAACATTATACTTAATGAAGAAACTGTGGATACATTCCCTTTAAGATTGGGATCAAACAAGGATTCTTCTAATAATGTTACTGGTATTGGAGATGCTGGTAAATGGAACAAAAATTTTTTTAAAAAATAAGAGGTGTAAGGATTAGAAGTTAAGAGAGAAAATTATCAGCATTTGTAAATTATAAACATATATATGAAAGAATAAAGGTACAATAGCTAAGTCAATCTTAAAAAATAAAAGCTAAAAGGGGGGAATATGCCCAATTAGATATCAAGACACCCTTTAAGCCCTATTTTAAAAAATAATGTGGTACAGACAAATAGACCAGTGGAAGAAAACAGTAAACTCAGAGATAGACCTAAGTATATATGGAAATTTAGCACATAATGAAAGTAACACCAAAAACCAATGAAAAAAGGACAGTGTACTCCAGATGGATTAAAGATATAAATACAAAAGGTAAAATTACAATTATAGATCAAAATTTAGCAGGATACCTATGACCCAGGGACTTCTTAAAAATTACAAACCATAAGGCAAAAATATTGGTGAATTTATTTTTATCCAAAAAATTTTTTCAACTAAGGACAACATGGACAAAGTTTTCATACAAATGGTACAACAAAATAAATTTACAATATCTAACTGATAATGGGTTAATATCAAGAATATACAGAAAACTACTTCAAATCAATAAGAATAAGATAAGAAATCCAGTAATTAAAAAATCATGGAAAATAACAAATGTTGGCAAGGATGTAGAGAAATTGAAACCCTTGTACATGCTGGTGGAATTGTAAAATGGTGCGCCATTGTGTAAAACAGTTTGACATTCTTCAGAAAGTTAAACATAGAATTACCATATGACCTAGCAATTCCACTCCCAGGTAATATCCCAAACAATTAAGAACAGGTACTCAAACAAATACTCTTACACAAATGTTCATAGCAGCACTATTCACAATAGCCAAAAAGTGAACACAACCCAAATGTCCATCAATGGATAAATGAAGAAATAAAACATGACATATCCATACAATAGATTATTATTCAGCCATATAAAGGAATAAAGTACTAATATATGCTACAATATGGATGAACCTCAAAAATACTCTGCTAAAGGAAAAAAGTCAGAACCAGAATGTCAAATATTGTATGACTCCATTTATATGAAATATCCAGAATAGGTAAATCCATAGAGACTGAAAACAGACTGGTGGTTCTCAGGTGCTGGGGATAGAGAGATATGGGAGTGGCTACGTAATGGGTATGGAGTGTCTTTTTTGGGTGATGAAAATGTTTTGGAACTAGATAGAATTGGTGGCTGCACAACATTGTGAATGTATTAAATGCCACTGAATGTATACTTTAAAATGATTAATTTTATGTGAATTTCACATCTCAGTAAAATATGTATTAAATTTAAGATGTGCGCCAGGCACTGCTGGTGGGAGTATAGTCTAATTCAGCCATTCTGTGAAGTAATCTGGAAGTATTCCCTAAAATTATCACGTAAGTCCATAAGCATAGATGTACAAAGATGTTCACTGCAGCATTGTTTTTGGTGATGAAGAGTTGTAGGCAATCTAGGTGTCCATCACGGGGGAGAATGGAGAAGCAAAAAGTAGTGGCTTACCATGGGATACTATAGTGCAGTTAAAAGTAATAGATAAGATGTATACGTGGCTACTCAAATAGGTCTTCATAATATAGTCTTGAGTTTAGAAAGTATACAAGTTGGAGATATAGCACAAGATAGTTTACATAACTTAAAAACACATGCATAAAAAACAAAAGTACATTTTACAAAAACACACAAAAAAGGGATACACCAAACAAAAGGGGGAATGGAAATAAAAGAGCATGAATAAATTTTAAAAATAAGTGAGGATTGTTATATGGACCAATGATGGCAACATGCTATGAACTGAGAAGTATGATGTCAACCTCTCTGCCAGAGAACCATAAAGGAAGACTAAAAAATAAAAGCAAATTAGGAAACAACAAATGAGGATCCATTGTGGCAGACAGGGGAATGGAAGAAAACAAAGTCGACTCCATCATCGATCACAAATTGAAAACATACTATACTCTCATCACTGTGCCAGGCAAGTGGGTACCAAGGGAAACAAACATATTCCAATCTATATTTCACTGTTAGCATGGTACTAAACAAGGGAGATGCCAGGAAACTTAAGACAAGCTTTCTCAAAATCCATTAAAAAATCAGGGAACTAAGACATTCATTCTTTTAAAAAATATCTATTGAGCACCTAGTACCGGCCAGCACTTGGCTAGGTTCTGGGGTAAAGTCGTGAGAAAAAAATGTCAAAAATTCTTTCCCTCATGACCTTTATGTAATAAATAACAAGAAGTGAACTTACATAGTATGTTAGAAGGTAATACATACGAAGGAGAAAAATAAAGCACTGAAGGAGGGTTGAGAGTGCCAAGAAAAAAAGATTTCCAATTTCAAGAAGGGTGCTCAGGAAAGACTTCTTTGAGAGGGGGTGGCATTCTTTTTTTTTTTTTAAAGATTTTTAAAAATTTTCCTTTTTCTCCCCAAAGCCCCCAAGTACATAGTTGTGTATTTTTAGTTGTGGGTCCTTCTAGTTGTGGCATGTGGGATGCTCCCTCAGCATGGTTTGATGAGCGGTGCCATGTCTGCGCGTAGGATCCGAACCAGTGAAACCCCGGGCTGCGGAAGCAGAGTGTGCGAACTTAACCACTTGGCCACCGGGCCGGCTCCCTAAATTATCTTTTGATGAATACAAGGTTTTAACATTAATGAAGTTTAATTTCTCAGTCTTTTATTGTGTTTAGCATTTTTTGCCTCTTAGGAAATTCTACCCTATCCCCAAAGTCACAAAGATATTCCTCCCTATTTCCTTTCCAAAGTTTTAAACTTATTTTTGATCTTTAAGTTCTCATCATTCCGCAGCTTTTGTGTATGTGGGGGTAGGGATCCCCCACATTTTAAATTTTTATTCTTACGGATAACCAGTTTTTCCAGCTTACTTGTTAAAGTCCCTTCTTTCCTTCACTGATCTACATGTCACCTCTGTTATGTATAAAAATCCTTGTGTGTATATGTATCTGTTTCTGGGCTCTCTGTTTTACAGATATTTCTGGACTTATGATGCAGTTATGCCCAATAAACCCATCCTAAGTTGAAAATATCATAAGTTGAAAATACATTTAATACACCTAACCTACTGAACATCATAGCTTAGCCTAGCCTACCCTAAATGTGTTCAGAACACTTACATTAGTCTACAGGTGGATCTAACAGAAAGCTTATTTTGTAATAGTGTTGAATATCTTTATTGAATACTGTAATGAAAGTGAAAAACAGAATGGTTGTAAGGGTACAAAATGGTTGTAAGTGTGTCAGTTGTTTACCCTTGTGATCGCGTGGCTGACTGGGAGCTGCAGCTCACTGCCACTGCCCAGCATCACAAGACAGGATTGTACTGCACATTGATAACCCAGGAAAAGATAAAAATTCAAAATTTGATGTACAGCTTCTACTGAATGTATATTGTCTTTGCACCGTTGCAAAGTCAAAAAATCATAAGTCAAACAATAGCATCAAACCACCAGAAGTCAGGGGATGTCTGTTGCTCAACTTGTCTGTCCCTAAGCCAATATAACACTGTCTTAATTAAATAGTTTTATAAATAAATCTTGATAATGGTAAGGTAAATCCCCTGTCCTTGTCTTCCTCAGAAGTATCTTAGCTACTTTGGGCTTTTAAGTCTCTCACAAATGTTTTAGAATCAACCTGTCAAGTTCCATTAGGATTTTCATTAGAACTACTTTGAAGCCTTGGATGGAATTTGGGGAGAATGAACACATTTATTACATTAAGTCTTTCTATTCATGAATCTGACTATAGCTCCATTTATTTTTGATCTTTAATATATTAGTCAAGTATTGTAATTTTCTGCATATAGGTCTTGCATATTTCTTGTTAAACTTCTTCCAAGCTAATTCATAGATGTGTGCATGTTACTGTTGTAAGTGGTGCCTTTAAAAAAATGTTTTCTAATTCTTTATTGTTAGTATGTAAAAATGCAATTAATTTTTATATCTTGATCTTATATCCAGCCACCATGTTAAGCTTTATTTCCAATAATATGTTTTTTAGATGTTCTACATAAATGTAGTAGCCTGCTTCCAAGTTGGCCCCAGTAGTCCCTGCCTTCTGGTAGTCACAGCCTTGTGTAGTTTTCTCTCACATTGTAGTAGAGTTGATCTGCGTGGCCAGTCGAATATGGCAAAAGTGGAGCGATGGCATGTAACTTATAAGATTAGGTTATAAAGACTGTATCTTCTCTATAAAGATTAGGCTATAAAAGACTGTACCTTATATTTTGGGCTCGCTCTTTATTTTATATGTAGAGATTTTATATATATATATATTTCTTGGGTCACTTCCTCTAGGGGAAGTTATGTCATTACCAGTCCTATGGGGAGGCCACATAGAAAGCCTCCTGCCAACAGCTACATGAGCTCCAGCCTTCAGTCAAATATCCAGAGATTGAAGCCACGGCCAATAGATTGACTGTAAATTCATGAAAAGCATATCCAGAACCACTCAGCTAACCCACTCCCAGATTCTTAACCCTCAGAAACTGTGTGATAATAATTATTTTTTTGTTTTAAGCTGTTAAGTTTGGGTTAACTTGCTATGCAGCCATAGATAACTAACACAGATTTTGGTATTGGGAGTATGGTGCTGATGTAAGAAAAACCTAAAATGTAGAAGTGACTTTGAAATGGGATAGTGGGTGGAAGCTGGAAAAACTGTAAGGATTTTGAAGAGAGCATTAGTGAAAGTTTAAAGTGTCTTGAACACACTGTTCATAGGATTTTGG